GGCTTGGTGCAAAGGCTCAGCTTCCCTGAGCGAGCGAGTGCACCCACAGGGCCCTAGTTGGGCGAGTTTCAACAGGTTTGGGGAGCACTGTCTTGTCAGATGCTTGCTGAGTTGCTCAATGGCTAATCCAGGGTGGAGGGAAGAAAAGTCAAACCGTAGCAGACAGCTGGGTCCCGGCTGCCGCCTGAGCAAACCCCTCAGGCAGAGCCTGGTCCTGCCTCCCCCTGTGTGGAGGGGTGGGAAAGATCGAGGCTGGCAGGCTGGCCCGGGAGGCTTCGCTCTAGCCCTAGGAAGAGCACAGCCTGCAGATCTGCCCCACTGCGGGCCTTTCAGCATCACCTGAGTCCGAGGAAAGTGCAACTGAGCCCTCCCTTTACTGATCCACTGATGACTGAGCACTCATAGCCTGGCAGGTATGTGCCAGGCACTAGGGGGACACTCAGAGGTCTGTGTGCCATTGCCTTGACCTCGCAAGCATCAGAAGACATATAATCATGCCACGTGGAGTAGATAGGGGTTGCAGTTACATATATCAGAACATATATATATATATCAGAATATGTGGTCTTGGTTCAGGCCCTACTTCCTCCAGATCTCTAAGGGGGAGCTGGAGCCCACCCACACACCTCTGCTCTGGGAGGGGAGGGAAGAAGTTAGGATAGTGTGTGTAAGGTGCCTGGAACATCCGTTCACCAGGTTGTGCAGGGGGGAGCCCTACCCCACTTGTGGGACTCATTTGATGATGTCTGTAGATACTGGTCACCAGCTGGCACAGGGTGAAGTGTTGTTACCGATTTCTAGGACAGAGGCTTCATATACTGCTAAAGGCCCCAGGGGGTCAAGGACAGACCTATCAAAAAAAAAATATCCACAATACCATGGCGGGGAGGGTCTGAGTATATAAACTGTAAAGTCTTAGTGTGTGTTAGTGACTGTGACTCACAGTCATGGGAGAGGTTCCAAGGACATGGGCTTTTACTATTTCAGGGGGGAAGGAGGGGGCCAATGAGACATTCCTGGGGGCTCTACCCATGCCTGGACTGGCGAGTCACACCTCACTTCGCCTGTAGCCTGGGAAGTCATACATCCCTGCTGGGCAAACAGGCATGTGTGAGCTTGGAGCTTGGCTCGGGGAGGCGCACCTGTGAGGACTTGGAGCTGGTAAGGTACTTGACGCCTCCCTTCTATTCCCCCCGGTGGCACTGGAGTGTGTTTCCGGTAACACCCCTCTGGCCAGCAGGATGCCCACAAGCCGGGCTAGATCTCCTGGCTCTGGGAGGCTACCGATGAGCAGGCAGGGGGCAGCCTGGCTCCCATCTAACGTTCTAGGACCCAGACAACACTGTTCGGGACAGATGGAGCTTGGGAGCGCCGTAAGTACCCAGTCTTTGCATCATCCTATAGACAAAGACACAGTTCTGAGGCTCAGTGACAGCAGTACCCTGCCTCTGGCAGCTGCCAGGGCCCCCATTTCTATCAGCATGCCTGGCTTTGTGCCTTGCATGTCGCACGCATGGGCTTACTCCTCCTGAACTCCACTGAGAGCCATATGCACCCATGGACACTACTTTACAGATGAGGGGCAAGGCACTAGTCCAGGGCCCTTCAGCGGGGTAGTGGCAGAGCTGGGGTAGAAACCCTGGGCTCTGAGCCACTCTGTGGACCTGACTTGGACTACAGTGGGGGGTCCTTATTTTACTCACTGGGGTTCTGCTAACGTCCCTGCTCAACACATCACTTTGCTCTTCCCAGAGAACACACACTAGTACCTCAGTCTTTCTGTCTTCAACTCTGCCTAGTTCTTCCACTTGGGGTTCAGAACAAGCCCAGAGGGAGGAAATAGCCCCCTCAAGGCCACCCAACATGTAGTGTAGAGCTGTGACCGGAACCCCTGGTGTAGCCTTGGTACTGGGGCATGACTCAGACGTAGCAGGGCAGTTCCTTGAGGGTCAAGTACAAGTCTTCTACCTTGAACTGTGTACCCCCCATTCCTTCTTCATTGGTGGGAGCTGCACACATTGCCACCTACTCTAGATACCAGACATCAGCCTCATAAACAGCATCCAGCTCCTCTGGGCTTGCCCAGCCTCTGGCTTCGCAGCTTTTCCAGCTCTAGTGTCTGCAGGCAGAGGGCTTCTCCATAAGGTTGATGCCCAGAGACATCAGATAGCATGGACTCTGCAATCAGCTATCAACCCACCCTGGATGGAAGCCTGCCTCTAGGTGAGGGAACACCCAGGCCTAGTCCCCGGAGCACATGCTGCCAGCTATTTCTTTTGGGGCCAAGCCTGCAGCTTGACTCATCCCCTTTTCCTATTTATATTTATTTGTGCATATGTGCACGTGTTTGGAAGTCAGAGGACAACTTATAGGAGTTGATCCTCTCCTACCATGTGGATTATAGGGATGGAACTCAGATTGGCAGGCTTGGCAGCAAGTGTCTTTACCCACTGAGCCATCTCAATGGCCCTTGGTTCACCCTTGAATAGACAGTGTCACCGCCATGCCTGAATGGACAGCTGCTAACCCCAAACTGCTGCTTCTGGAGGCTGACTTGGGCTGGACAGCTCTGCCATTTACTAGATAAGTAGCTCTGGGGGGGCCTCTGTGACCCTCAGTCTTCTCATCTGTAAAATGGGGTTTCAATGCAGTGAGGATTCAGATGGCACAGTGGGTGATGAAGGTTAATAAGTCATTCTCCAGTCTCCAGGCCGAGTCTGGCTCTGTGATAGCCACAGCTGCAGCTCCACTCTGCACTGGAGCATGCCCACTGTCCTGCCCATTCCAGCTGTGGCTTCTCCTGTGTTCTTTGACCCAGACCCAAGCTGCTGGGAGGCTAGACTGGGGCACCTGTTTCCCTAGAGGCTGGTGCAGTTTCTGGCTGAGGATGGAGGTGTTTAGATACAAGGCACTGATCCCAGTTTTGGGGGCGTGTGCCTGGGGTCCTCTCCAGTTTGGTAGGATCCTGGGAAGCCCCTTCTTCTTCTCCGAGTTGTGTAAAAAGACCCCTGGCTTGAAGCCCCGATGGAACAGGAGTGAACTGGGTTGTCTAGAGCCAGGCTGCATGGCAACTGGAGCCATCACAGTTACAGAGAACAGGTTTGCCAACCTCTCCAACCCCAGGCCTCCCCTCTTCACCCACCCCCCACAGTGCAGGCAGGCTCAAGGCTCAAGAACGGAGCTCTGGAATTCCCCATGCTTTGCAAGACCTGAAGCTGAGGCTGCCTCCCCGGCTGGGACCAGGGCGTGGTGGACATGGCTGGAGGCGGGTGGCAATTCTACCTGGGTCAACTTCGGGACAGCCTCAGGCAAGGAGTAGGTGATCATAGTCTGGGGAAACTAAAGCATCTGGGTTCAGTCTTCAGCTCCGAGTCTGGTAAGTAGCTCCCTTCCCTGGGCCTCAGTTTCCTCACCTATAAAGGGAGCTAAAAAGCCAGGAGCTCCCGACGGCCTTTCTCTGGCAGCTGTCTGTGTTTGCTGCAGGCCTGGCTCACACACTCCAGTTCCCACTTGCTTCTTCAGCTTGTTTGGTAGTGCTTGGTGCTGGGCAGCTCAGACCCCCTTCTATTTCCCGCTGATGTTCACGCTGTTTTACAGCCACCCATCTCTAAGAGGCAGCTTCTTCAAGTCCAAAGTAGTTCCTTTCCTGCAATCCAGATCTGCAACCCAGGCCCCACTTGGGGGGTGTGTGTGGAGCACAGTCTGTAAGAAGTGGAGGGGGTGGTGGCTGTGCCCTGGTTTCTGTCCACTCTGCCACTGCCCCTCAAGTGTTAATCAAATTAAGACTCCAAGAAAAACAAAGGCTCTGCAGCCACTTTGGGCCTCGGAGTCGCTAGCTCTCTGAACAGCTGGGAGAATTCCACATCACCTCAGTCTCCCAAGCTCTGGGTGGCTCTGACCCCAACGAACACACTCCTTTCCAGTCTACAGGGCCCTGGCTGGCCACAATGACCTCATAGCAACAGCCATTGGACACTCAGGGCGATTTCATGGGAGATATTTGTTCTTTGGTCTTGATGCAGAGAGAATTTTTCCTTTCCCACTGTCTCCATGGAAACCCCAGCTACACTGTTGGCTATCCCCCCCTTCCCACCTCATGCTTTTCAGATCAATACTGGAGCTTGGCTCCCCACTGGCTGCCCACAGTGGAAGGCGGCAGCGCTCTGAGCAGGAGAACTTGGGGCCAGGGTTAAGCCAGGGCCATGGGGAAGTGTCACTGAGGAGGGATGAAGGAGCCTAAGGTCTAGTTCCTTATTCTCTTAATCACTAGCTCATCTCTTTAGCTATCCTCTTCTTTCCCAGGGATCCTCCGGAGCACCCAGTAAAGGAAAAACACACAGGTCACCAGCGGTTACCACCCCCTTCCTTCTTAGGCAAGACCCTTAGAGGTGGATGGGGGCTGTTGCCTTCTTTATTAAAGGTTGGAAGAAGTTTCTTCTTGCCTAAGGGAACAGTGAGGTCCTGTCAGAGCCAGCCTGCGGGCTCTCAGAGGCTCGGCGCCCGGTCCTCGCCTTCTACGCCTGGCTCCCGCCCCCCAAGCAGAAACAGGTCCCTGCACGCCTCCAGCCCAATCCGCAGCGCGGCGCGGCTCAGCGCGGGGAGCTCGCGACTAGACTCCTTGGTATTAACCTGCTATTATGCCCGGGACTCCTTCCCTGCAGTGGGCTTCCTCGCGACTTGTCTGCGTGCCGGATTGCGTCCCACACCGGTCCGGGGACACCGCCCCGCGCTCGCAACCTCTTGCGCCCTCGAGCACTCAGGGCCGCCTCCGGGTGCAGACACGCTGCCAGCCTTGCTGCCCCGGGTCAGGAAGGAATTCTGACCCGGGGCAGCAGGGGTCCCGGGACCTCCAGAGGGTAGCCCAGATAGTGGTGGTGGCCAGCAGAACAAACCGGCGGGAGCGCGAGCCTTGGGTCCCGCGGCCGAGACACCTGCCGGGAGCCCCCTGTGCCCGCTGCCCCAGGGTCCGCCCCACCCGCCCGGTCCCCGGCCGGACTTACAGCCAGTTGCTCGCGGCGGCAGAGAACACGGCGAAGACGAGGAGTCGCAGCGACCGCAGGCACGAGCGGGGGCTCATGGTGTCTCGGGCGCCCGGCCCCGGGCAGCGTCAGTGAGGTTCCCGTCGGGGCGGCAGGTGGGCGCCGCGCGGACGGGCTGGGGCGCCGGGCCGGGGCGCGCGGCGGGGCTCAGCCTCCCAGCAGCCGGCCGCGCCGCCCGCTGCTGCGCCCGCTGCCCGGCGGACCCGACTGTCAGCGCCGCCCCAGAGCCGGGATGCGGCGGCAGCGGCGGAGGCGGGCGGGCGGCCGGCGGGGCGGGCCGGGGGCGGGCCGAGGATGGGGTTACCTGGGCGGGTCCAGCAGCGCGGGACACCCCCCCTAACGGGGGCGGGCCTGAGCCCGCGGGACTGGGCTTCTCCTGGGGGGCCTCCCCGGCCCAGCGCCCGGGCGCCCTCGGAGCCCCAGCCCGCTGCAGGCACGCCTGGCCGCACGCCGCCCAGTTGGGCCGAGCTAGAGGCGCGGCGACCCAGCTGCTGGGTCCCCGCCCGGGGCCTTAGGGACGGGCGGGCACAGCTCCCCCAGCCCGCCGCTGCGGGCACTGCAGCGCCGCCCTAGCCGCGCCCCGCGGCCCCCCGCCGGCGCCTGGGAGCCGGGATCCCCGGTCGACCCCGGCGGAGCCACCCGAGCGCGGCTGCCACTCGCGCGCACCCAGGCGCTAGCGCTCTGGGCGCACCAGGCTGCGGTGCCGCCCGGCTGTCCCCGGCGCACCCCTCCCGGCCCTCAGGCCCCCGCGTTCTGCGGTCCGGCCCCTCCCTAGCGCTCACCTCCCTCTAGCCTTCCCGGAGCTGGACAGGGGCCTCCCTGCTTCGGGCAGCTTGGGACAGTGGCCTGAGACTCCGGGAATCCGAAACCTCGCTTCTGGATCGCCCTGGGTTCTGGCGCGCTCAAGGCAGCAAGGTCTTGAGTGAACCCCTCGCCTTTCTGAGTGGACCTTCCACTTAGGGACGGGAAGGCTGCGGAGGTCTCCTTTTAGAACAGGAACCAATCCCAGCTTTGTGCTTGGGTTTCTGTGCGCTTCTTTTATTTCTTCTCCCACACCAGGCAGATTCAGCTTGGTGTCCTGGCACAGAGTGAGTGGGTGCCACGTTTGTGGAATGAATGGATCGAGTGGAGTTATTGCTTAAAAACCTATGCCTGGCTGAAATAGAAGTTCAATTCTGTATTAATAGTTACCTGCCATGACTGGGCCACACCCTCTCCAGGTCACTGATAAAGTCCAGGCTCCTCTGGCCCTGCCAGGGGCTATATCCCAAGAGCTAAAGGAACCCCCTGTCTAAACAAGGATCCAAATGCCCAGAGACCCTGCTCCACTTCACTAAAAATGTGAAGGGTAGAGAAAGGGACCAGGCCTCCGTCCTTGCAGAACCAGCTGTTTTCTCTGTGTGAGTTTGACTGCCCACCCCCACCATGGCCACGTTTGACTCAAGGAGTTGTCTGGGTTAACACAGGAGGGGCTTGATAAGCTTTTGGCACGGAGACTGGGCAGAAGGTGGTAGGGATTCGCGGAGCCCGGCAAAAGTGCAGATGCGAGTTCATGTACCACATGTCTAAATATTTGCAGGTTATAAATCAAGCTAACAAAATGAGGAATAAAATATGTTCTAGTCTGCTCTCACAAACACGCTTTCATAATAACATGCAAAGCCTCTCTGAATGTAGGCTGCTTACACTACGTGAATCCCGAGTGGTGCAGCAGCCCTGGTGCCTGGCCCTGAGTCTCACCTTTTCCCGCCTCTGCCTCTCCTGCCCTCCAGGGACTCTCGTGCACACAGGCAAACATCTCAGCGTGCACAGACAAACTCTGTCTCCCTGCCCGCTCCACTCCAGCCCTCCACCCACCCGAAAGCTGACCCTTGGCCATCCCTCAGCCTCAGGGCTAGACACACTAGTGTGCTGCCTGTCCTCTCAGGCTGGATCTGCAAGAGAGATTCACCTATCCTGGAAGCTGGCTAGAGCCACCTGTGCAAGGAAGCCCGGGAGCCTGGATATCCAGAGTGAGACCCAAGAGGGGGGTCCAGGCTCCAGGTGAGCACATCCGCTTGGCCCCATGATCTTCTGTCCCTGGGTTAAGAATCGGTGAGCTAGAGAAGGGCCAGACTGTGGGATGTTCAGGGCAGGGCCACTCTTAGGCTTAAGGGTGGTGCAGAATTCCTAAGTTATTTTGAGCCAATCTGGAGATTCAGTATAGCGATAGAAATTAATAATCATTTAAACGGCAGTAGGCAATTAGTTCAGGGTGCCTATTATAATTCCCTTCCAAATTGGGACATTCATGTTATAGGTTTTTCTCCTGGCATTCTACAATTCACCTTTAAAAATATTTATTTTAAAATTATGTACATTGGTGTGGGCATGTACAAATAAGGTAGGTGCCCAAAGAGGCCAGAGGCAGCCAGTGTCCCTGGGACTGGGATTACAGGTGGTTGCAACCTGCCCACTATTGATGCTTGAAACTGAACTCAGGTCCTCTGCTAGAGCAATGTACAATCTTAACTGCTGAGCCATTTCTCTCACCCATTATTTATTTATCTGTGTGTGTGTGTGTGTGCGCGCACGTACACGCACGGTCAGTGGGCACACGCTTGCATGCCATGGTGCACTCCTGTAGGTCAGAGGATGACTTGTAACAGTCAGTTCTCTCCTTCCACCATTAGGTTCCAGGATCTAACTCAGGTTGTCAGGCTTGGCAGCAAGTGCCTTTACCAATGATCCATCTTGCTGAGTACAATTCATGACATTTAAAAATGGTGATAGGGGATCTTAACCAGAAGGTTTGTTGGGAGATCAGGCATAAACCAGGACCGTGCCAGGCAGCCTTGGATGTATTGTTCTGAGATCCCGAGCTCTTGGTGCCAGAGTTTTCCGGCAAAGCCTTGTGACACACAGATACCAAAGTGACTGTGGTTATCTCTTCCACTTTATAGAGAAGGAAGGAAGAGAAAGTGGTGGTCCTGGCCATCAGGGAATTGGACCTGAGCCCACTGTGAACTTCCAGTGACATTCCCTGGCCCCTTCTGGGCTAGGCACCCCACCCATAGCAGTGGGTTGAATGAGCCTTGTGAGCTGGAAAGAGCTACCCCAGGAGAGGAGGGTGCTGGGGCCAAGGCCAGGGAGACTCGCCCTGATCTCTGATAAGGGAGGGAGGGCCTCCTCTGAGTCAGTGGAAAGCTTACTGGGAAAATTTCTTTGAGGAAGTGTGCTCTCCTAACTTTTGAGACCCGTTCAACCATGAAGATATAAACACAAGCTCGTTCAGAAGTTCAGTTGCCCGCTGCCCTTCAGTATCAGTGGCGGCCATTGTCACAAGGGCTTTGCCCTCAGCAACTTTTGTTTGTTTAGTGGGACTGGGGATGGAACTCAGGGCCTCACACATTCGGACAAGTGTTCTACCCCTGAGCTGTATAGCCCAAGGCTCCAATAGTTCTTTGTGTGTGCGCACGCACATATAGGCGTGTGCACACATGTATGTGTGTGTATATGGAGACCAGAGGACTTCAAATGCTCTTCCTCAGGAACACCATCTACTTTACTTTTGAGACAGGGCCTCTTATTGTCTTCAAGTTTGCCAGTTAGACTAGATTGCCAGGCTAATGGGCCCCCGGGATCCACCTGACTCTGCCTTCCCAGTGCTGGGATGTCAAGTGTGGGCCACTCTGCTTGGCTTGCTTTCTTTCAGAGTTCTGGGGATGGAACTCAGGTCCATGACTGCTTTGCTGACTTTATTGACTGAGAGCAGCCCCTGCCCTCGCAACAATCCTTTAATATCAGAGCCAAAGCCTGTCAAGGATCCTACCCCTATTAATCTTCTGTTTGCTTGGTGGAACTGGTCGAGATTGGACCCAGGTCCTTGCACACACTGAAAAGTACCTTACCACTGAGCTGTAGTCCCTGCCCCCCACTGACTCTTTCATTCTGGGCCTAGCCCTGAAAATAGATACTGTTAGCTGTGTGAATGGGAACGGCGGCCTGTTCTAAAGCACTTTAATATAGGCCAACAGCCCAGGGCCTATTCCTGACATTTCTGTTGGGATGTAAAGATTGGTTTGTCACTTCTCATGGCCAGCAAGTATGCAGATAGAGTTCAGAGCAACTTTGACTTCCTGGTCCATATGTGAGGGTTAGTGTTGCAGTCTAGAGAGGGAAGGTAGTGCATATGTGTGGGATGGTTTTAAGAGCCTTCTGGAAGTTACCTGTGATGTTGCTAGTCGACTCTAGCGTCTCCCTATGACCAGAGCTTTGAGTGTCCTACACATAACAGGACATGAGCATCCCGGACTTCCCACATGGCCCATTTAAATGTACTTATTTGCTTTCTTTCCTTTCTTCTTCTTCTTCTTCTTCTTCTTCTTCTTCTTCTTCTTCTTCTTCTTCTCTTTTCTTCTTCTCCTTCTTTCTCCTTCTCCTTTTTCTGAGACAGGTTTTCTCTGAGTAGCTCTAGCTGTCCTAGAACTCGCTATGTAGACTAGGCTGGCCTCAAACTCACAGAGATCCTCCTGTCTCTCTCTCTGCCAAGTGCCACGGGTTTAAAGCCATGCACCACCACCTCCTGGGGTTATTTACTTATTTTTAGTAAGACTGAACATAGAGTTTAGCGCATGCCAAGCCAAGTATTCTGTCTCGGAGTGATAGCTCTGACCCCTTTGTACTTTTGAGTTTTCATTTTACTTTTAATTATGAATATGTGTGTTTCTGTGTGGGGGTGTGGCGAATGCATGCTGGTGCCTGCGGTTGTCAGAGGTGTCAGATTCCCGGGAGCTGGAGTTATAAGCAGTTGTAGGTGCTGATGTAGGTGCTGGGTGTAGGCGGTGTAATAACCAGGCTAGCTTAATATGAAACAGCAAATTTTAATGAAGGAATAGCTTACAACACCAGGGATCCAGTGATGAGCAGGAGATACAAAAAAGAGAGACCGGTGCAGCTCAGGCTGTCAGATTTATATGTAAACATTAGCCCGAGGCGAACACGCCCCCCATTGGGCGGAGTTTCCCCTACAGCTGGGAACCAAACTTGGGTCCTCTCGAAGAGCAATACACTCTCAACACTTTCTTTTTCTCCAGTCTGCCCTTTCGTATTTAATTTTTGAAACAGGGTCTCATTAAGTTGCCCAGGTTGGCACTGAACTTGCCATCCTCTTGTCTCCTGAGATTGCAGACCCGTGCACAAGACCAAGCTGAGTGACGCGTTTTCAGAGTGAGTTCTTTTTACCCTATTAGGTTCACTGGGGAAGAGAGGCTGGATTTTGTTTTAATTTTATTATTGTTTTCTGTACTGGGGGTGAAAACGGGGTCCCTAAAAATGCTACACTAGTACTTTATTCCTGAGGCCAGCCCTTGGCGTGTGTGAGTGGTGAGTGTGTGTGTGTATGCACACACGTGAGTTCCTGTGCAGGTCAGAGGTCAGGTATCTTCTTCAGTCACCCTCCACCATGTGAGAGTCTCTCACTGAGCTAGGAGCTCATAGATTTGGCTAGGTGGGCTGGCCAATGAACTTCACCTGTTTCTACCTCCCCAGTGCTCAGATAACATGTCTGGCTTTTATGTTGGCACTGGTGTGTGTGTGTGTGTCCAAACTCAGTCCCGCATGCTTTTGAGGCAGGTACTTTACCTACCGGTCAGTCAGCCA